TATCATATTTCCGCTTAGGTCCAATGTCACCAATTCACCGAGATTCGAAAATGCACCAATATCAATGAACTTTATTTCTGTATGGCTTAAGTTCAAATGTTTTAATTTCGAAAATATGTTTAAAGTGTTATCATTCAATTCCCCAATAAAATTGTATGACACATCCATTATTTCAACGGTTGCAATCAATTGTTAATTGACATCATCCGTATTAGGAAGGTGATTTCCAGAAATGTTAAAGTATCGAATTTTCAAATCACTTGGATAGCATGATAAGGATGCATTGAATGCAGTAAAAGATATTTTATCTAGATACGCTTCATCCCCGACATCAAGGTATGTAATATCTATTGAAAACATTGAATTTGTCAAGCAACTTGTGTCAATCTCCTCGATATGCTCGCATGAAACATGAATTTCCGTTGAATGTTGGATAAACCAAAATGCATTGCAGTCCAAACGGGAGATTTCAAGATGTAAATCTGCGAAATTTTTTGTTTCATTTGACTCGAGAGAATTCATATTGGTCATATTCGTATCCCTTAGATTCAAATACTCCATATTGGTGAGCCGCTCAAAAATCTGTGCATTTGATTTGCCCATAAAATTCGATTGGAGGGCCAATGTCTTGATGGACTCTCCTAATACATTGATGATGTCTGCTGTGCTTTGCAGTTGATTGCCGGAAATGTTAAAATGAGTGAGTTGCTTGAAACCCTCTCGACTGAAGTTGAACTTGAAGTTTGGAGCACGAAAAATGATCGAATCGCTTATATCGATTTCAAGTGAATGTCCGAAGCAACTTGCATCGATTTCCTTGAAATTTGACGTATCCACCGGAACCGAACTCATCAACACCGATGCAATGCCACACAACCTTATCGGGCTATTTTCGACGTGCAGCCGTTCTAAATTCGTATTTTGTCGGAATAAATGTTCATCAATCACATCCATTGAATTGTAACTCAAGTCCAATATTCGAAGCTCACGGAGATTTGAAAATGTGTCATTATCGATGTGCGTCAATTGTGCATGGCTTAAATTCAAATTTTTCAATTTATGTAGCTCTTGGAATGTGCTCGCATTTAGTGAATTATCTGCGAAAAAATTATAAGAAGCATCCAAGCTCTCGACTGATGCCTTCAGTTGATCGATGACTTTGGCGGTGTCGGCAAAGTCATTTCCGGAAATGTTGAAATGAGTGACTTCCATTTCATCATTTTCAATGTAAATATGTGCATCATCATCGATAGCACCACTTTGGAATATAGTTTCCTCCGTTCTAATATAAATTGTGGCCAAATTTTCCCAGCTCATATTTGATGCATCAAACTCCTTGATATTGTCCCACGAAATGTGCACGGTGACTGTATCAACAGTCCGATGCACAATTGGCCAATATAAAGTTTCGCAATCAATACGACGAATTGGATTATTTCTCAGGTACAACGTATCTAGCCAAATATTATTTCGAAATGCGTCTTTGTTGATTGTTTCAATTAAATTGTCGCTTGAGTCCAATATCATTAGTTTGCCAAGACTCCAAAACATTTCATATTTCAAATTTGTGATGAGATTGTGTGAAATGTTCATCGTGCCTAATTTTATTTCGAGCTCATAGGATGCCGAAGAAATGTCGACGATTTTATTGAAAGAAAAGTCAATTTCATCGAGTTGCAGCGCATGCCCGAAAATCGACATTTCAAGATTGGTTAGCTTGTTGTATGATGCAATCAGTTTCTTTAATTGTTTAAGATTAAAATCGTTTGGTGTTAACGATTCGATTCCGTAGTTAGAAATGTCGTATGTTTCAACATTTGAGAAAGTTTCCGGGAAGTTTTCGTCCAATCGGATGCCACGGCAATCTCCAGTTTTTAAGTGTTTCACAAATGAGCCCGAATATAATCCCCAGGCATCGGTGTGTGACACGTAACAGGAACCGAAATATATTCCGTGGAAGTTGGAACATATCAGTTCAATTCCGCTTTGATCGGAATCCGTGTAAAAACAATCTTTAAACTCATATGCCAAACCACCGTAGTTATACATGGATAAACAAATTAGAAAGAAAACACATTTCATATTGAATGCAAAGAGATGTTGATTCAATCACAAAACAAATTATTCTAACGTCTTTTCGCTTTAAATGTACCACTGAAACTGATTCTTAATAACTTGTTCAGTTCAGCTCGTGTGTTAGATTCTTTGTGAATATTTACCAGGAACTAGCATGCATTTTACAGATAAACTATTGGCTTACTTTTTATTTACATAACACAAAGTGCAACAACGCCCGTTTCCTCATTTGATCGAAACAACAATATTTTGCATACATTTCCAATGTGACTTGTGGATGATAATAATAGCGCTATTGAAATGGGAACAAATGTGCAACTTTAAAGCTTTAGCGTTTTAATAAAAAGTGTTTATCTCAATTATTTCCGCAATGCTATTGTAAATAAACTACGCATCAACGACAATTGCAACAAGTTAAACTGCGGAAGAGGCACGTGCGCAAATTTTGTATTTTTTTCAGAGGTTTTGTTTAATATATACAAATCACGGCTCAACAAAAAAAGGTTTTCTGAATTCTTCCAAACGAACTTCCAACCAACGGAAATATGTCTGAGCACAGCCTTGATATCAGAGTGGCTAAAAAACTTTTTTTAAGATTCTCGGTCGATTTTATCATATTCAGGACCTAAGAAAACACTTTATGCTGTAACAATGTCCAATTGTCCAATTGTGTCATCAAAACCTTGCAAGGCCATTTTCAAGTTTACACGAAACTCGTATTTGGTTGACATTTGAAAGTAGACGATTTTTTAACTCTATGTTTCAAATGATCAAATCAAGAATTAAATTTTAAGTATTTTTGCTCAAAAAACGATTTAGCCGCAATTTGTCTATGTTTTTTTAGATTTAGTACAGGTTTTTTCAATTTTTTGTCAAAAAACACAAACTTTGTATGGAATATTAATTCTTTCGCCAAACTAACGTCACATTCATTATTTCGTGCCAAAAAATCCTTCACTATTCAGAGTTGTATTAGAAATTGCTAGGGGGTAGACACAATAGAGAATGAATGAATACCAATGAATTGTCATAATACCTATCTATTTTCAAATACGACAATTTCTTAATTATTTAAAGATTACTTGTACTAAAAATGTGAATACCGTGATTACCAAATGTCAAATTGATATCGGTAATAAAGATTTCAAGTTTTTTCCATTTCGTTTTAACATTCACCATTTCGAAATTTATTTTAATTTTTTCTGTTTTCTTTCTGTTATTTTTATCAAAATTGTTTTTGCATTTATTAAACCAATTGAAATACTACACTTAATAGCGTTGAAAAAGTTTTTTTAATATTTGGAAGATAATATTCATATATGCACATTGTGAGACGTTGCTGAATGCATTGACATTTCGTCTAAAACTGAGAATACCAAGAATACCAAGAATACCTTCAATCTCAAGTAATATTCCATGTGTCTACCCCCTAGAGAAATTGTATAAAAAAACTTTTTTTGGCCACCCTCTTGTTCTATGTCTCCTTTATATTTCTCGAACTATATGCACGAACACCAGTGATGGGCGAGCACAATTTTCAAGGAGGATTAATTTTCAAAATTTCGTTTTATTTAGTGTAAACTTCTGAGCAAGGTCGACGACCAAAAAAGATCCTCACTTTGTTCGCAAAAAACCCTAGCAAATAAAAAAAAAATCCAAATTCTCTTTCAAGGGGATCACAACGGATTCGCATTTTTTTCTTCTTCTCAAAAAAACTAGCAATTTTTTTCCGAAACTCCGAATGTTTACTCCAACCACAATAAAAAAGAACTATTTTTTTCAATATTAATTGAGATTTCTACTTTAAAACAAACAACAATTCTAAATTAAACGATGACCCAAAGTTTATTGAAACAAAACAGTGTAATTTCTTAATGTTACAGTATCTACTAGCATTATCACTTTATTGATCAACCGATATAAATAGAATTCAATATTTATGATACATTATTGATCAATTAAATTAACTTCATGTGGATTATTTTCATTTAATCGGTACGCGACATTATTTTCCATTGAGTTGAATGTCGCATTCCGTCTGATTCGTTGAATGAGTTGTGATTTAACCACCAAATATCCAATGCATAAAGTGATAAACATAATAATGAGCAAATATTTGAATGTACGTAACTCAGCAACTAAAGTTTCGTGAACTTCACCACCATGCTCACCGTGCTTACTTTCGATTGCAATCAATGGTTTCGGAGAAAATTCATTGAATTTGTTGCTAATAGGTAGTTTCATTGTGGTAACTTGTGTGTTTGTAACGTAATCACTTTCATCGTGATAGCATTCGATGCCATCGATATTGGTTTGATTTGTTGGATAGACGACGAATTCAAAACTTTTCGGGCTGCTCTCGGG